TTGCGCAGCTTAAATCACGTGGTAGAGTACATGCGACCGCAACATGGGGGAAATGAACCCCCGGAGCGCTACTTCCTCGGCAACCATCATCACACTTGCAATTATGTTCGCCCCTCACCACCCAAATGGCCAAAATGTGTGGCTTGAAAGCTGGCCCTGCGAAATCTACCTACCTAGTCCTCGTGGACCCTGAGGCTTGAGAAGGAACAAATAAACCGGTATCGTACTCATTCAGAAACAAAGTGCCCTCGAAGAATCCCGCCAAATTTCAATTTCCGCCAACCCAGAAGGGTTTGCAAGGTGGGTGAATGACGTTGATGGTGGATCTCCCGACGGCAGCGATGATGGTGTGGGGAGTGCGCTGGTCCGAAACGGAGATGAGGATGCTGCAGCAGGAGAAGTTCAGGACGAGTAGTTATTCTTGGTCAATTAGGGGCCATCCGGTGCCGCTGAAATCACCTTAAAGATAACAATTATTTGTGACACCGGTTATGGTTCTTTGATAGAGCTGGAAGAAGAAGGATATCTTTCGGCATGGCAAGGCTCCAGTGATGCAATGCTCACCGTCTCGCTTGCCAATTTGGGGCTTATCATATAGGCTTCACGACACTAGGATCGAAGGCCTCATTAGTGAGTGGGAAGGGGTATTCTGCGCAGCTGTGCAGGGAGTTTGGAGGATTTATCGGATACCCGAGTGGGCCGACGGTGACCTGGATAGGAAGAGAATGAGGTTGGACGGTGTAGATACGGGGAGTAGTCATGAGGGCATGGGTGAGGTGGGGGCGGACGAGGAAGGTGGGGATCAGCGGGCAGTGAGATCTGCGCTTGGGCTTGGGGGGTTCTAGGGGTGGTGCGAAACGGGCACATAAGGTTCCGTGGGGGTTGCGGGCAGAGAGGTTGACAGTAGTGAGGTTTGCGGATGGGAGCAGAGATTGATGGCAGCTTGGTATACCTCCCACTCCCCCTCTGTTGAGCATCAAGCAGTTAACGAGTCGCTAGTCATTGGTATCAGCACTCCACTTCCACTCCATCCTTCCTCCTTTCCACGGGCCCCAGTTCAACCCTCGGCACACCCGCGGGGACAGAACCACAAGCGTCCACCATCTCCCCGCACCCCCGCAACCCCCATCCCAACAGCCCCCTTCCACCCCTCCACCCCTCCACCCCACCGGCGGAAGCATAAGCACTGGCGGCTGGCGGAAATGCATACACATCCTCTCGCGACGATTATCCAAAAAGGAGACAAAGATATACTGTCACGCACGGGTGTAGAGGTCGATGGAGACCTTCCACATCTTCCCGGATGGAAATGGAGCAGGTGGGGTATTTGAATCGGGGGTCCTCTCATAAAAGGTGGTGGCACACTGGAAAGTCGAGGGTGTGCGCACGACTATGGCCCTTGAATGCAGCGGTAACAGGAGGGTCGCTACTCGGGGCCCGAGTGTGATCGCAATATGTCCGGTCGTGCTAGGAGCCTCGGCAGTGACCGGCATGCCCTCATCGGTGGAAGAAAGGAAAATCCAAAGCCAGTAAGCGTACTCGAGGGGCTAGTCACAGCTATTAACGTTACCATGCTCGCCCCCGACTCCGGGTCCTCGCTATGGTGATGGAAGGGAAGAAGGATGCTTTCGGGGTAGGTGTGTTTATGTTCCCCCCCTTTATATTACCAGCTATCTGGTAAATGAAGGACACCCGTTTGTTGGGAGTGCATTTGCGCAGTTGCGTCGTTTAGCAGGCTCGGCTCACATATTTGATTCTCCTGGGTAGAGTCACGGTGATAAGTAGGGCGGGGAAGGAAACTGGCATCCCAGCCATCGGGAGCCAAGCCACGGAGGTTGGAATTTGCGAGATACAGTCTTAACTTGACCAAACAAAATTTACGGTTAGGTATTTTGTAGAAATATAGTCTGTGTATATAACTATCAACACCAGCAATCCGCAGTAATTGTAAACCATCCATTCACTCTAGACTTTGGACACATAGGACTCACCAGTATCATCCCGATGTTTGGCTCTCCCGAATCCTCCACTACAGCGCTGAATCAACAATGATGAATAGGAGTAAAATGAGGGGTGTGCGCAAAGATTCCTGGACCCTACTATCGCAAGACCCAATTAAGTAGAGAGTTTGCGCAGTGAGACCTAGCTGGTGTTAATATAGGTTAAGAGCAAGGCTTGGGCACCTGGTTCTTTAGTCCCACCTGATCAAGGTGTTAAAATCTATAAATGGGACCCGGAATTGAGGACCACAAATGCCCACTACCACTGCACTTTTATGCCTCTATTCAGGTGCGATTTCGTGGCTATTCTTCTCAAGGACAATACCAACAGGGGAAACTTCAAGAAAGTTAACAATTGGCTAATGTATTGGCCTCTCAAATGGATGGAGTTTAAGAAACTCAACAGTTCTCACGAGTCTCATGGGCTGTTGATGGGAGTGGCAACCCCTAGAGACATTGTCAATAACTCCAACACTGCATAGGTCTATCTCGCAAACTGTCTCTTGTGATTTGGAGGTGACAAGAGGCTGTCACGGTAGACACAGTCACGAAATCTGGACAAGATGCGGCCCCACTGCGTTGGCCGTTCCCTCAGTCTCTCCTGGAGCACCGCACTCCGCCACATGAAGGGTATCCCTACAACGTGATTCATATTATCCCTTAAACTGTTTTCAAACACTGTCGCTAGGGCAGCGGCAACCGGGGATGCAGTTGTAAGGGGTACTACCGGTAGTATTACTTAAGGTTCCGAGACATAAGCGGGATTAAATTTATACAGACCCTCTTATTTCTGTCATGACCATGCTGATTTGTACGAACTTCACTACATTCTGAGCACTACCCCACTTGGGATCCCGAGAGTGTTGCCTATCACAAATACTCAAATGGCTAGTGCTAGAGCCTTTAAACACGGCCGGGTTTCTCAGGACTTTAAAGATAGATCCAGCATTCCTGATTCTGCCCTAGCTACTGCCGGTCACCGAGTTTGTGCCGTGCTAAAAGTGAGTGAGCGAGGGTCCAGGTGAAGGGATCCCTTACCCTGTTGCCGAAATTCCAGGCAGCGTAGCATGGGTGGGTTTTGGCCGACAAGGGTAGGTGACTCGGTAGGAGAAATCCTCATCTGGCGCAACTCTCGCACATGGCACTTGAGATTCACACCATTTTAGCAACGTCTGCGGAGTCATAGGTATGTTTATTTTTTCTATGGTTAATTATATACACGTCCAACTAGAATTTGAATTATGGTGGAAGGAACGTGATTACGGGCCGTCGTGGGCATGTAGGTGATGAGGTTATTAAAGCCATAGAGGGCACCAAATCGTGGAGGAAGGCTGGATTGATTTCGAAGGAGAGACTATCTGAGGTTGAAATGAGGATTTGGGATCTGGAGACCTGTTCTGTGAAAGTTTCTGAGGGAAAGCAAGGGAGGATTGATCTCGCCTCCAAGCAATTCGGACAGTCAATCAGAGGTTACTAGTAGTGTTAATGTAATGGCTAGTTAGCGATAACTAGTGTATACAGGTGTTGGGGGCTATAAACAGTTGAAATGTAGTATGGGGAGAAATAATTAATTCATCCTATTCAATGTTTGTAGGAGTCTTTGGGGAAGCAGAAAATGCTGTCATGCCACATAGGGCTTATAAATTACCTCTAGGGCCTACTGGTTACGAATAGGGCCTGAAAATCACTGGTAGGGCCCACCAATCACATGAAGGTCCCGCAAATTCCACAGCCAGAGGCGCCTACAGTGCCCGCCGACCTATCAGGGGCAATGGTCCAGGCAGATGCCAACGTGGCCGTCCATCCAGGGGATCCTCTCTGGTCCTGCCATCTGTCACGTCTGGACTTGAAGCTGGATGGATCAGATGCTTCGGTTCACTGCGAATACCTGCTTGAACCATCTTATTTGTCGGCGACTGCCTGCTCACTTCCCTTGTGAAGGTCTACAGTCTTGTCAGCCTTGTAGCCGATACCTGTATCAACTATGTCTTTGCTATCGTAGTCTCCTGGCTCCCCAAACAATTGCAACATATATAGCCCGCATACCGTGCGCATTTGTGCCACCCATCCTTTGCCGTATTGCCATGAAGGCAGACTCATGATTGTGTTTTTTCTAGTTAATACACGATAAAAAAGTGTGATATTTAGGTACAGTGCATACAGGAAACATTCCAGACCAAGGGAGTAATATGATATAGCTCTTATCCCCAATATGGGAGGCTGATTTTAGGCAATAGGGAAGAAGTTCATGGCTTGGTAATTTCAACAGCACCATCCGCGTTCTACGCGAGGGAAGCTGTGGTTTCTGACCGGTATAGATTTCTCAAATCTTCTTTTCAATTTCGTCATCTGCCACAGTCCTTTTCCTTTCCCGTGCAATCCCGTTTCCCCTTTGGACTTTTCAACAACCTCCATAACCCTCTTCTAACCCATTCTTTGAGCTTCTCTTAACTCTCCTTTACCTCGCTTTGATCAACCAGTCTCGTTTCTTCTTCCAAACACGTGCTATAACCATCCCTGGCTAAACAACTTATACAATACATGGATGTCAACCAACCTCCAGAACCTTCCATTCTACTTACAAATACCGGTCTCATGAGTATTGCGAGCAGGAAATCAAGCTCTGAAGCCTCCCGACATATCCGTAATTTATGTGGGCAATTTGGGCAATCAAGTGGAGTGCTAGCGATTTGCGATACATGGTTTAGAAAGTAGAGGGTTGGCAAGGGTGTTGGATGGTAATTTCAACTTGTCATTTTTCTACACAAGGGTTTGCTATATTATAGCAGGCAGTACTATATGTTTGGGTTTTAACACGGTTGGTAGGGGAGAGTGACCGAAAGTACTACCTTTATCGGGTAGGTTATTGTGTTTTATAAAGTCGGACTTCCTCCCATCCCCCTGCCCCCAGGTGATATGCCCAGATCGCCCCCCATTCCCGCCTGCCCCATGCTAACTGATATGCTCTATGCAAACAGGCCCCCTAAAGCCCGCAGTATATCAGCGCGAAACGAGTACCCCATTGTAGGCAAGAGTCCGGTTCAGGTGAGCATTCTTGAAGTGTTTCGTGTCATGAAGTAAATCCATGATAAACGAAATAGGGGTGACATAAGTTATATCACAGGAGTCAGTAGCACCGGAACCACCAGTAATGATACCTCCAATAGGGCTATAGGCATCGGCGACACAAGACCCAGAATCCCCCTTGGTAGAGAACGGGCCTGAGTACTTGTCTGTAGGATATACAGGCCACTCCCTCGACTCCTGATAGTGACCGGCGAAATAGGTCCGAGTATAAGAGGATACATTGTTTGCCCTCCCAAGAGTAGTACCAGTCCTGGCACCGTTCTTGAAGACAACCAAGCATGGATCCCGATTGGCGTCAACCATGGGTGAGTTGACCAAGGCACTTTCGGGTACCTGGGCTTCTAGCTTCACAAGACGGCTGCGGGGAAATTTGAAGGATGTGGGGCTGGTGTAGTTGAGATACACCTTGTCCATGAATTGCTGATGCGGGTAGTTTGTACCTACATTGATGGTATTTCCGTGGTAGTTGTCGGCATCGAGTTTGCCTGGGTTGATCTTGATGACAGCAAGGTCAAGGGTATACTGACCAGGTTTGGTGGAAAGGGTAATTGGAGGAGCCCAAATCAGCTGGCCGATAACGCGCTTTTCCTTTGCCACCCAGTGACTGGTGATTTCCTGGTGCAGGGCCCTGAGGCCCTCCAGCCGCGTCTCGGCCTCCTTGCGTCCGATGACTGAAATAGGGTCGTCGATACCCTGAGTTGACTTGATCCATGCCTTGGCATGAGTGATCAACACTTGGCACCTGATCTCGTAATCGATGTTTGCCAGTGCCTTTTGGAAAGCACCAGTTCCGAGGACGAGGACCTCTTCACCTCGCCGCCTGTTATTTTGACGGTAGTATTCCTTGTTATCATGGTAGTCGACAGGAAGGACAACATGCCGAGCAGTAACTAGGTAAATGTTTTTATCGCTCCTCGCAGCACTAAGATAAAAGCCTCCTGTTCCCTCAATCCATGGTCTATTGTTGGGAGCAATCGGAATACCAAGAGTTGCGGTGTAGGGGGCACAGGCAGTGAATATTGGGTGATCCACGGACACCGGATTGAAGAACCTGTTGCTTGCCTGTCACATAATGCGGGACTCACGAATTTCGACATAGTAGTCGTGGATACCATAACTCTTGATGACTGTGTGGTAATTGATGGCAACTGCACTCCCCTCCTGGAAACTAAGGGCCCCGAACTCGACCCCAATCCAGACAATGGGTGGCCCAGAGAGCTCTCCGACGCTAGTGATATGGAGCACATCAAGAGAAGACCAGTTGATGGCCATCGCTGTCAGGCTAGAGGAAAGTTGGATGGCAGGACCACGTCCCAAATTGCCGTGAGCGGGTGATCACCTAGATACCTCAATTCCTTGGGGATAGTGTATGCCTCAGGACCAGTGGGAGGCTCAAAGGGGCCGGGTTTGGTTGTAGCAATCAGAGGTGGTTGCGAGGGCAAGCCCTTATAGTAGACCTTGGACAAAACATCATCGACCAGGAAGGGATGCATTGAGATGGAGCCCGACATTGTAACAGGCTCGGCAGCAGATGAAAGGTCCATGAAAGTAGGCTGCTAGTAGCCAGATGAAGTGGTAGCCGTGACTAGTGTTCCCAACGGGCAGGTAGGCCAGGCTGAGCCGAAGCCGGGCCCGGCCTGCCACAACTATGGGGGATTTAGCCCGGCCGGAGCCTGCAGGCTTTGAAAAGCCTGGGCCTGGCCTGGCCGGGCCCAGCTATAGGCCGTATAGGCTAAGTACCTGCCACCTGATAGGCCGGCCCGGCCTATATGGCCTAGCCAAGCCGTGCCCAGCCTATGAATACGGGGCTATGACCCCCTCAGATCCTTGGTTTCTGCTCGGCTCATCTTCCATTCCACTAAACTAGTCCGAGTTACTCCCGTGAGAACTGTATGTAAGTTACATAGTCCCTACGCAAATTCCACCCATTGGTGTTAACGGAAGAGAACGAGTATCAGTAAGATCACTAATATTATTAGGCACTGATCCTACGTGCGGGTAGTAATATGGATTTGTTCGTGGTTGATCAAAACCCCCGAGGTCTAATAGGACTCGGTCAACCATAGCGGGCACATTTACCGATGGATTCCCGCCGAAGAAACTGGATCAGGAGGAAGGATCGTGAGATAGGAGTGCGTTGGAGAATCTGGAGGTAGATTTCCTGGACTTCTTTGAGCTGGTTGTGGATCAGTAATCGCGTAGTTATCATACTTCAACCGACAAGTGAGGATATAGATAAAATGATAAACCACAATGAAAGTTGTAAGGAATCGAGCCACTCTTAAAACAATCAGCTCTAAAAATCCCACTTGCAGGCCTGTAGACTCCTACCAGGCCTGATAGGGTTCGGCAGGCCGGTTGAGTTCGGCCTATCACTGGCCTAGCCCGTTGGGAACACTGGCCGTGACAGAGGGGCGGGGTTCTTCAGCAACTTGTCTTTGACAACTGTTTGGAAGGCAATGGCACGCTTGACCGAGCACACTAAAAAACTAAAGGACACAAAAACATTAGCACAGAAAAACTATCACTGAGAGCAAAACAAACGCACGGGTGAGAAACGAAAATGTGGTGGGAAGCGTAGTACGGTAGCTATGAGAACGAGTGAGGACTCCACAGCGATTCGGCTTCGGTTACAGTCTGGGAAACGACAGCGAGGATAGAAGAGTCCACTGAAATAAAATAGGGCAAACAAAGATTAGTGTAGGAAAAGATGAAAGAGCTAAAAGCAAACGCACTGGTGTTGGATGAAGACAAGTTGAGGTGAGGGATACGAGTGTCTGGGGTCGAGTAGCGTTGGGCGAGAGAAAATAATGTGGGTAAACAAGTTGAGAAAAGGTTACCAGTGTGTTGAGTCACCTAGCATTCGGTGCAGGAGAGGAAGGTTGGCAGGCAAGCCTCCTGATACTCATGCCTCTGTGCCAAGAATTGGCAACTCGTTTGGAATAGCCTCCACCTGGCCACAGGGACTACTCATGTTGCCGGATTTCCCCGCCAGTTCCTATTATGGAATCGCTCATCCTTGGATATTTCAGCCAATAAAATATTTTGGGAAGGTACATTTGCTCTCTATCCTGAAAGCTCGAAACTTCAACCTGATGACAACAGCCAACAGCCGGACTAACAAGCCAAAAACCACATGACGATGAGATTTTGAGATGCCACAGGGCCTTGGGTCTGCTGCCCGGATTCTAATCATAAAGAGAGTGGTAATTTTCGCATTAAATTGAGATGCTAGAATGAGTTTTGATGGCGTAGCGATAAAGGTTCACGGCGATGAAGGGACTGCTAGGAAAATCATTAAATGCACCTAGGTATAAACACGTTCCCATCAACTATCACAGCCTAGCAGTAACCAACCTGCATAGGAGGGGGCCCCAGACCAAGATGGCTTCAGAGATGTTTTGTCCTGCCTTGCTTATATACACGGGGGTGGGAGGCTAGAAATATTTCTGGAAGGATCCCCCGAAAGCAGAGTATTGGCAGATGCCATGTACGGATATTGCGAAGAAGATAAACATCTATGCTGCCCGGTCGCCTCTGGAGAAGGTGTTCCAAGTACATATAATACGTCTAAGCAGAGCCATGAACTCGTTTTAAGCTGTCCTTATCCATTTCACCATTGACGCAACCTTGAATATTTGTATATTTTATTGGCTAAAGCATCTCAGGATGAGCGATTCCATAATAGGAACTAGCAAAGCAATCCGGGAGCGTGAGTCGTGTCGGCTGCTCTTGGATCGTGAGAATTGCACGCTGTGACTGCGATGGCATTGGCTACTCGCCCTCATTATCTAGAACTATATTTTATGTCATTGGTACTTGAAGTGAGATTAAATGTCCTAGAATGATGACCGACGGCATCACCCATTCATAATGCAATTGCAAGTAACCTCTTTGGAACATTTAATCATATCACAAGTACCCGTGTACCGAAATGGCTCAAACGCTAAACTATTTATGGTTCTGAGAGGACGATTCTAAATGAGGTGCCAATTCCTGGTGCCGAGGCACTAGTAAAGTACAGCGCGACATCATTAATCGGTTTTGCCATAAGGGATGTCGTTAACCGGTATCCTCAATCCTACTAACCTGTCCAGCTAAACGTTTCTTAGGATGACAGGCTGCAGGAGCGGGCGGATTTCAGGGGTTTTTATGGTACTGTACCATCTCTCACAATGTGCTATCATATCTCCGCCGTAGAATTTCCAGAAGCTGAGACAAAGCTCCTGCGAGGTATTCGCCTTTTCCAGAGATGGAGAGGATTAGTTCATGGCATCCCTTACCTCGTAATCACGGCAGGCGGTATTCTACCCCTTACTCGAGACAGTTACCAAAAGCTCGGCTGTGGGGTGGACCACCAGGCAGGTGTTCATCCCTGTCTAGACAACTAAGTACTAGCCTACTGGGGCAATTGTGATTAAATTTGCACAGAGGATGATACTTCAATCATGGCCATGCTGAGTATCACTCAGTATGTGCATTCTCAGCCCAACACCCTGTTAAAGCACCAATTAGCATGGCCATGACAGAAATGAGATTTCCTGAGTACTCTTTGGCACAACGTGAGCTAGGCACCCCAGTTCCCAGCTAATAAAGATATTGGCTAGGATGGTAAATGTGTGTCTTGCGGTTCTTATTATTTTCATGCTCTTGGAGGTGTCCTATTTATATACAATCTGTCTGCTATGAATCCTACATGATCTACCACATGGACATACAGAAACTCCCTGAGCCAATGCCTAGTCTCCTTGGCCATCCTAGTGTGTTCCACTGCTGTCACAATTCAACACTAGGCTGGTATTCTCAAACCCTTTCCACCATCTCTGAAACTTTGTTCTGACAACCTATACCTCATCTGTGTCTTCTAACATGTTCCAGATCCTTGCACCTTGACACAGACAATAAAACAATGGTAAAACCTCTAGCACCCTTAGACTATGCCCTATCCTGCATAATAAGAAACTCTTCAGTCCTGCAGCAGATCAATCCAAGCTTCACAAATTTCAACAACGGGCACCCCGGGATTCAAGTTCCAGCCCAGTGTTTAAATCAAGCACAACATGAAGGCAGTTTTACATGAACTACTCCAACAACACATCACCCCAACGTAAGATAGCCGATCTATGTGAACACACAATACAGCAAGCACGGGAAACTATAAGCCTTGGGATGACTGAGAGGAAAGCGTGCCTTGAATTTAATGTCAGCCGTGGAACAATTCAAGATCATCGAACTTGAACTTCAACTTTTCATTAAAGTCATACCTTTATGCAACATGTATCAAGTGACCAAGAGGATGCTATTGTCTCCTGGATCTTGCACTAAGAGAAGCATGGCTTTGCAGCTTCTCACACCAGTGTTCGTGAGATGGTAGAAAAGATCATGAAGTCTAGTGGAAGGAATATTGTGATTTGAAAGAGTTGGGTGCCCCACTTCTTAACCTGACATCAAAAGGTAGCGATACTTTTAGGAAAATCAATTGCTTCAAAGTGAATTTGCCCAACTCAGCCGCAGATTGGAAGGCTTATTTTTGATCGGTTCAATACTGTATGCTTCTATTATGGCATTTGGGAGAAAGATATATCAAATGTTCCTGAGCCCGGAATTATATTGGGAGTGTACATCTATATACATGTTATTAGCAAGGCTGGAAAAAAGCACACCTATATGGAGTTCACCGAAACCCAGGAATGGGTTCCTATCATTGAAACCATTAGTGCTACAGGAAAGCATATTCAGCCAGTTGTCATTTTCAAAGATCACAACATCAGCAAAATTTATTCCTGCATCAGGTATGCATGGGGTGCATCCTGACGCAAGCAGGGAGAATTCTGTGTCCAGTCCGTCCGCAGCATCGGGTACTCAGCCACCGGTTCTGGTTGCGTCCTGGGCATCTGGTAGTTGGATGCCAAGTCACATCAGCAAAAATTATTCCTGCGTCAGGCGTGCGGGCAGTGCGTCCTGACGCAAGTAGGAAGAATTTTGCGTCCTGTGCGTCCTATACATCTGGTACTCAGGCGCCTGGTCTGGTTGCAGCCTGTGCGTCTGGTACTCGGGCGCCGGAGCTGGTTGCGTCCTGTGCGTCTGGTAGTTGGGCGCCAAGTCAGGTTGCGTCCTAGTGCTTATGCTAGGAAGCGCCACATCCACATTAAATCCTAAGTAACCGATGCCAACTACCACTAGTAGTTACCATCCTGAGATTCAGAGTGATAAACACAGCTGCCAGCCGCTCCCCCTTAACCACCCCCCTACCGGCTCCTCCCTACCGGCTCCCCCTCTACCGGATCCCCCCCTACCAGCTCCCCTGCATTCCGGACTTAGTTGTTTACTTTGCCTGCTTCGCCAAGTTAGCGAGATTGTCATTAAGTGCTAACTTTGACGCGGGATTCCTCGGGTATCCTTTTAGCGCGGCATCCCATACTCAGCGGTCTGGTCCTACGCGACGCCAGCTTTCCAATGGTACCTTGGACGTCTACCCGGCGCCAATATTGGTAGAGTTACAGCCTGTTAT